GCGATACGTACCGTGGGTGGTGTATCGCGATTTTTCGGTTCGGTTTGAATATCGTTACACCCCCTAGCTACTAGCTAGTACCCTCAACTTTTCTTTAGTACCAACTAGGCTTGCTACGATAGTCGGTGTTACCGGTGTTCAGGTTTCCCACTCCGTCGATTTTATTTTATTTTTTTTATAAAATCAATCATTAAGTTCAGTTAGAGAACAGACACTATTAAACTGAACATGTCTGCTTAAAGCTGCAGTCGGCAAGTCTGGCAGATTGAGTGGACTTAGGCAAAATTCTGAATGTTTACAACTCTCATTGCCCTCCCCCACTATCAAGGGATACCCTCCCACCGCGTTCGTGCTCGTCAGTGCGTGTGCACCAGGTTATCTGTGAACGCGCCCATCTCATCAGCATCCATCCACACCATGGAGTATTTGGAGGTATGCTGCCCTGGCTAATCTACCGATAGATTGCAATTGCTAACGTCATTTATACTCTAAATGAGCTTACTTGATTTGTTAGTGTTTTGAAAGCGAGATACAGCCGCCATCACTCTTCGTTACTGCGCGAACTTCTGGCGTGAGCATGTGATTGTAACGTGCGCGAGGGGTGGCGTGTGCCCAATCTGTGATTGACAGTCAGATCTCACACCCCGCTGCGCTGATTGGACCCGATGATCTGGGAGCTGTGGATTTTTGTAAAACAAATAACATGCTCCAGGTGGAGTTAAAAGCTCGGGTTTTTTTCTAAAACCACTTTATTTATGTTGTTCTGTCGGATTATAGTGTCGATTTCACTGAATATGATCAAAAAAATGTTGCCGACGGCAGCTTTAATAAATCGTGAGCCGAACGAGACTCGCCGCACAGATCAGCAACAGGAGCTGACTGACAAGGTGACTGCAGAATATTTGGTGTCAAAGGGAAATGTAAAAGCTCCTATTTAAGCGAATTTGTCATTGCACTGTTTTGTTGTGTTTTTTATTAAGAGTAATAGGCTAATGAACTAGCCATTCAAGTAATCCGCCCCGAATTGGCGCTAATTTGAAAACGAAAAATGTTCACGGCCACATGTGTCAACGGGAGTGGAGCAAGCAGAACAGAGCGAACGTTTTCAGTTTATTCCTATGGAAAAATTCTCGCTCTGTTCTGCTCGCTCCGCTCCCGTTGACATGTGCGGCCGTGCACATGTTAGTTTAGTTTTCAAATTAGTGCCAATTCAGGGCACAACAACAAAACACACCCGCACCATTATGAATGCCCGTGCAAACGCGCGCATTTTACGTTTGCCTTTAAATTAGCGATTTAAAAGCCCCCGCCTCACACGTCGATTAACCGGTGGGAAAATATCCTCACCGTCACATCCCTAGTACCAACTGGTACCGGTACAATTGACAACCTGCTAACAATGTTAAACCATCATCCAGCATCATAAAATCACTCAGCACAGACAATCTAGGTACATGAAATCAGTGACTTTACACTAAATTCAAGTTCACATGTCCGTTAGCTGGAAAATATCCCTGCAAATGAAACCTGTTGTATAAAGCATGTGTTGCTTAGTGTAATAACTCCAACAACTTGCTTGGTAATAAGCCACAGATTACTTCTCACCAAACAACATGTTCAGGCTACACGAGGGTAAAGTTCTCAGAACTTCTCACACATCCTTTTGCGGCTTATACAAGGTTTATTGGAGTGTTTTGGAATCTTGCCCAACATGCACTGTCTGCATTTGAATAAGCTGTGTTCAGAAACTAGGTCAATCACTATTTCCAAGGACTTGGTTACGTTGAAGACATAAGCCAATTTCCTACTAATCACCACTGGATCTCTTCTATGAATGGATTAGGTCTAAGCAACAGACACTTTTTGTGTCTAGAATCTGTTAAAGTTGTTTTGATGGCATCCTGAGGGGTGGGACTGGGAATCTTTAGGCACCTTGTGATTCAATTCAATTCCAAATTCTTTAAAGCTGCTGTAGGTAACATTTGAAAAAATGTATTTGCTAAAACTGTCATTATGTCCTGACAGTAGAATATGAGACAGATAATCTGTGTAAAAATCAAGCTCCTCTGGCTCCTCCCAGTGGTCCATGGGACTGCCATTTGCCATTTACAAGAAATACACGCTCCCGGTCAGAAACAACCAATCAGAGCCAGGAGGAGTGTCTTAGCAGTGTCAATCACGCTCGTGTACGCGCTGATCACACCCCTCTCTTGCACAGCGCGAGCCGACGTTCAAACTCAAGATTGCCGGCGTGCTGAAGCTGTGCTTATGACGGAGAAACAACCTAAACTGCCAATTCTCGAGTGACACCTGCTCATAAAACAAAGAGGTAAAAGGAAAAAGACTGATGACGATAAACAAGCGAAAAAGAAAGAATTACACAGAGCCCATTGACTCGGTGTCAAAACTCTAGCCGCATAACATGTAGATAAAATGTCACGCACTCTGCTAAGCAACAATTGAAACCTGCTAATTCACTGGCTTGTCATGTTGCTGAAATAATGTACTAGCACCTTATCTAGCATTATATATCGCTAGAATAATTACTTACATACTGTAACGTTATTTACTGTTATATTAATGTTATCTTACTAGCTATTTATAACTTATAGAAAGAGTGCAACGTTATAAAGTTACATGTAGGCTATTGCAAAATACATAATGATTTGAGGGCCAAGTTTGTAGTCAAAGTATGGGCAGGCCATAGTCAATGTAAAGCATATTATTGACGTTTAGTCCCTATTAGTATATGTGCCATATAACTTTTTATCCGCTGTTATCGGTGGCACTGTTTGCTAGCCTGCGTGTTCACGACAGGCTCCGCTGTGGAGGACGAGCTGTGGAGGGAGGGCTGTAGCGCAGCAGAGAGCAAGGGGGTGGGACCTGTAAGTTGTGCTTGTTCAAATTTTCAGGCTAAGTCAACGTTTTCTCAAAACTCACTACTGCAGCTTTAATGGCTGTTCTATAGGCCTAGATGTTGATACCAACAATAAGGTGGGGACAAAAGCAAATTATTAATTATCACTTACTGAAGCTCCAAAAACATTATTATGCAACCAAACGTTCCTATAACCAAAAAAAGATTAACATTGGTCTTTTTTTTACTTATTACAATATAAATACAATAAATGCACCCTCTTCGTGCCATTTTCCCAATGTTGCACACGCATGAAACTTGACTGTATCTGTAATGTTTTGTCTCACATATGCTTTTAAATTAAACCAAATTGTTTTTGGTGGATCAGTTCATAATTGTTTAAAAAAAGAACTGTAATGCAATAGTGATGTTGTGCAGAGTAGAGTCTTGAATTTAGGCTCCAAGCGCTGCTTTGACAACCATTTAATCTCTATGAAAATCTACCTTAAACTGTGTGCACAGCTATCCAGACAGAGGGGATCAAACAGGTCACTGACAGACATTTGAGCATGTACACATTTAAACCTTGTACTATGAATTCCTGCTAACTGATAGTTTCAAGAATATATGGCCATGTTTACCCTTAGTTAAGACATCTTAATAGGACAAACTTTTCTTTAGCATATAGATATAACAAAACAAAAATCACTTAAGTAGCTTTTGTTTCATTACACTAAACAACTTTTCAATTTGACCTTTCTGTCTGTCTTGCTGACACTGCCATACCTGTACCCATTATTATTACATACAGACATGAAGTTAGCAGCACCATTTCAACAACCTCTACTTTGACAACTAAGACAGACTTGCAATAAGCACAGGCTGTTCCTTGGAAGTACAAAATCATATTATTATTTGTGGTAAGATTCATTTAGAGCATTATGAATGGTTGACTCATCCTCTTCTTCAGAATACATAGCTTTTACATTTACATTTTTTTGCTGAAGAAAAAAACGAATATATATATATATATATATATATATATATATATATATATATATATATATATATATATAGAGAGAGAGAGAGAGAGAGAGAGAGAGAGAGAGAGAGAGAGAGAGAGAGAGACTATCCTTATTGGCCAAAAGTACTTAAAATTTACTAGAAAAGTGGTTTAATTCACACTTATCCATATTCTCAAAAAGAACCCAAAAGTGGCCTTGTTAAAATAAAATAAAAAGCAGGTGTGAATCAAACAGCCATATGAATGCAGAAGCGAAACTTTCACTACAGAATATATAAAACATTTCTAAGGTCTCGTTTGAAAAAAAAAAACTAAAATGAATGCTCAGTGTGTGGTCATAAGAAAACCATGTACAAGTATTCTTATTGTGAAGCAAAAACAAAAAAGCAGCAAAATCAGTCCAGGACTGCTTCCTTAATTCATGGTTTTACAGCAACTAATTAAAAGTTTCATACTGCCTCTACTGCAAAAAATCACAACATGACTGCTATCATGCTGTTTAAGCCAGGAACGGAGTTGGGTGGTTGGTTTTCACTAGTTTCGATGACTCACCGATAACCAGCTGTCACACAGGCGAGGATAATAGTAAAAATTCTGGTGTCTCGGCATCGTCAAAACCCTGAAGGTTGAATGAAGGTACTTTGTCATATAACGTTAATTCCATTTAAAACTTTTTTACTTACTGTAACGTTAACGTTACTTGTTTTGACACACTGACAGCTCAACCAGAAGACTAGCAACTCTCACAGACTTTAGTATTGACTGACTATATAATGAGCTATAAATTAGAGAAACATATTCAAACAGCCACCTATGGTGATGTTGTCAATTTATTTTTACATTTCGCCGTTGACAAAGTTTTCCCACACGTTAGCATGCTACAAGCTAACAAGGCGCATGGATTGTCCCATTCCGCACGAACAGTTCCTTGACCTCGTCCAAAATCTTTCAAACTTACCTGACTGAAACACATTTCACCAAGACTACTGCAGCCGAAATAATAAAAAGTAACCATGGTAAACAAGTTGGAGTTCAACAACTACAACTTGCTCTGACAGGCGCGAATTGAAACTAGACTATTTGCGAGCGCTTCGTAAGTTTAGGCACGCACGCACTTACCTCAAAGCAACTGATCAACGGCTGTAGACGCAAAGCCACAATCTCCGGTAAGTTTTCCAACGACCAAAATATTTAAATTCCAAATTCAAGAAGCGTTAGTTTGAAGTTCTTCTGCCACCTTCCCGGGCAGCCAAAGTCGGAAAGACGGAAACTGCCGTTTCAATATGGCTGAGAGGGCAGGAGCAGGGAATGTAAACGTCACTAGCGTGACTCCGGGTCGGGGTGGTGTGGGAGAAGGGGCAGGGACTAATCTGGATAAATACTGATCCTTGTATTTAACTTAGTCGAGTGTTTCTGTAGTTCCGTTCAATTTTCTTTCTCGCTATAAACATTTACTTAGCCTATGTTTCTTAGGAATAAACCGCAGATGTATAAGTGCCTCATGTGGGTTAGTGTTTGGTAATCAATAACCAAGCTGAGTAGTAAAAGTAGTCCCAATTGATAAAAATAAAAAATTAATAATCTATAGTTTTACAACTGGGCTATTGATTTAGGACGACAATGACTATTTTTTATTTAGGTTTGCAGACATGGTCTTTCTCGGGTAAGTTGACATGTATGTGACTATGCAAAACAACAAACACAACAACAAAGTATTCTTATTTCCATCATTAAATGAGTAATGCTATATTTTGCAGTGTTTTGCAACTATTCTATTGTCTTCAGGCCGTTTTTTTCTAAAGGATAATAGCAACCAGACCCACCTTTATTTAATTAGGCTACATGTAAAGACCTGTAAATATGTAAACATGAACTATTTTCTCTTTGCATTTTTTTCTCAAAAAGACTGAAGAGCATAAATGTATATTATATTGTGGTGCATAAGTGTGGACTAAGTACTTTAGTCTAGTAAACACAAAAAGTGGCAGCAAGTATGCCTCTGTTTTCATAGTACCAAAGAATCCCAAGAATGTTTTCCTGTGTTGTGTGAGGGAAGTGGCCGCTGGTGATTCAGCACATCTATATTAAGGCCATTCACTGTATTTCTTGTTTCTGCAGAGAATAGCATTGTCATCTATACGTGATACCCGTACCTCACTGAAACTGTAACTGCTTTGCTGATTATAACGCTGACAGCAGTTTGGACGTCATGGAGCAGCCTGACTGTTGAGGACATTGCACAGCTCTGTTTGTTTTAAAGATTTTAACTTTTCATTTTTATTGTTGTCAAGGTTGCATGTTATTTCTGGTGTGATCTGAAGAAATGGCTAGCCTATGTTTAACTTTATATTATAAATTAATATAAATATCTTATTGATATCATTAATTATATTATATTAATTAATATTGATGATATAATATGTATATATTAATACATTAACATATTTTATACATTCATATTAATTAAACATGTTTAATGCAGTAGGCTAGTTTATATTGCTTCACTGTTTGGTCAGAAATGAATCTGTTGAATGTATATTTAACCATAAGAATTAAAAAATACCAATAAAAAGTTTGAACTATATTTAAAAGATCAGATGGCATATTTAGTTCTTAAGATAATGTAGGGTTCTCATTTGATCCACCTTTAATATTGAAATGCAATTTGCATTGAAACTCTCTGCTGCCCCCAGGTGCCATGTTTGCACACAAAGGTATACACCCCTGTCTTAATAAGGATACAGACAATTCCATAATAAAACGTTTATTTTTGTTGTATCATGTATCTTAGGTGTCACTTTGTTCATTGCATTTAGTTGGAATTAAATGATGTTCTTCCACACCCCGTCAGTGACAGTTTATTTTGGCTATAGCGTGGTGCTCTAATAACTGAGTCACTGGTTGATTACTCGTGATGATTGATCATTTTATAGCTGCTTATGCCGCATAGTAGGCTAATTGTGGGAAAAGTAAACAATAGCCATTGGGGAATCCAGTGACTGCAGCAGTGCGCGTCAGACTGGCATTACTGCACGCGATCAACGCTGTTCGTGCACACGCCGAATGTAAAGAGCAGTCAGAAAAGGGATTGCAGAGGACATTTGCCCATTTATCAAAATGCAAAACTAGGGCTAAGTTTTTTTGGTGGGGTTGCTTATAGCCTAAATTGTGAGAAAAAAAAAGTCTTGAAAGAATATTCCGGACTCCTACAGATTATTCTCAAATGTGCTGAAAGACGACGAGAAGTTGGATTTTCGTTTTAAGGTATGTTCACATCAGCTGTTATAATGCTATATGCACTACTGATCATATCTAGCCTATTTTATTTATATATTTACTCTAATCGTGTTTAGTGTTTTTTCCCAGTGTAAATTTTGTGAGCGTCTTTGGCTCATTTCGACAAATGGGTAGATTTTCCATTTTAAAAAGCTGGTTTTAACGTAATTTTATTTTAAACATTCTATCAGACAAATATTAAAATTATTTGGGCTAGTTACAATAGGGTTGATGCATCTGATCCGTAACTTCTTCAACCAGACGTTAAATGTAGGCTACTAAGATCCAAAAACAACATTGAGAGAACACTATTTGTCTTTCATTCACAATGTCCATTATTACTACACCAAGAGGGCCTTAAAAATGCACCATTTTTGTGGAATAAATATCCCCTTCATGAAAAGTGTGGCCATTTTTTTCATAACGTTATATTCATCATTATATCATTGCTCTTGGCAGGAGTGAATTTCTCAATTTGGACACAGCACCATGCGCAGGTTGCCGTGCCTTGCCTCCGAGCCAAGAGGAGAAATACCACTGTGCTACTGACAGGATTTTTACGCGCAGCTGAACAAGGATGCCAGAGCTCGCAAACTGCAGTGTCTGTACCAATAAGATACTCATGGTGGTCTTCATGATATCACTGATACTTGCCATACTCTTCGGAAACATCTTGACATTAGCAGTGATCGTTGGAACTAAACACTTCCACACTCCACAGGGTTACTTAAAAGCCTCACTGGCCGTGGCAGACCTGGCTGTGGGAATGTTTGTGGTACCCGTTTCGGTTTACGCTGAAATATCCCTCATGATCTACAATTCAATGCCGGAGTGGACAGCGCGCAATTCCCAAACCACACCTTTCCACCCGTGCAGTTTCATCGGACCTGTGTTTGCGGGATGCACTTTAGTCTCCATTACAACCATTTTTCTCCTTACCATTGAAAGGAGCATTGCCGTTTTAAAGCCACTGCACAAGGAATCTGTCATAACTAAAAAAAGAACAAGCATACTAATAGTTTTTTCCTGGATGGGCAGTTTTTTCCTGGCAATATCTCCAATGGTTTTCAGCAATGCAATCGCGCTGGAATACAATCCTTGCAGCCGCATGTGCAATTACGCGTTGGGAAGCGCAGAATTCCCATCCCAGGCTTGGAAGATTCTCTTACTCTTCCCTGCTTTTGACTTTACGCTGCTCGGAGGTACTGTTGTCATCAATATCATATCGCTCACCACAATCCGCCAGCATTCAAAAAGAAGGAAACATCTCGCAGAGACAGAGAGTCAAAGCGCAACCAAACCAACCTTCTCCGATATCAAGGCTGCCAAGACTATAGGCACTCTGACGTTGGCTTTCACGGCTTCTTTCACTCCCATCGCTGTGTTTGTAGTTGGAAATGTGTTGGGAAACGAATGGTGCACTTTTTCCTTTTTTGCCTTTTGGATTTTGACCACGAACAGTTGCTGGAATGTTATTATATATGGTGTGAGAGACCAGAAGTTTAGAAGTCGTGCGTATCAGCTGCTCATATCCGCTCATTTGAACACTGCGCCCAAAACAACTGTGAATGAAAACACTGTAAATGGGGGGAAACTCAATGAGGAAATAGTCAAACAAACCTAATTACTTATCTTACTGATCATAGCCCAATTTACATGGAGCTACTGAATTTATTACAGGCCCATTAAGCTATCTGAGCATTAGCAAGCTGGTTATTTGCTGGCGTAGCTATAATGTTCCATATAAAAATAGCTGATAGCTGGTTTGTTGCTGGTCCAAGATCCACCTTAGACCAGCTAGTAACAGCTGACACCTAACCTGCCAGTTTTTTCAATCTCCATGGATCAACTTGAGGTTAAGTGTCTTCTTAAAGACACCTTGTGGATATGAATCATGTAATCAAAATGTTTTTATTATCAGCCTAAATCCCCAACCATTAGGCCACAGGTGCCTATTAATGCCCTCATAACCACCCGTTGAGTGGCATCTGCTGATATCCTCGTATCACCTCTTTGAGTTTGAGATCTATTCTAAACGTTGCATGACTTTTCATTGTGACAAGATTTCACCATGCATTTGAATTTAATCATGAAAGTCCCACATATCTGCATTGAGGTCTTTATACTTGTAACATGGATGCTACTGTAGGATATTGATTTGCTTTTGTTTATTTTTTCATTGATACTGATAAGATATTCAGTCAAGATATTGTGCGGCTTCAATAAAATGTGCATATAAAATACTGTCAAGAAGAACTGATACTTATATGTAAAGGATCAATGTAAACACTGGGGAGCTAAAGTACAAATTATTATAAGGTCAATTGTTAATTGTAATAAAAAAATTGTGCTAGAAGGGTGTGTCATACAAGACAAATGCATTTCTCTTCAGTGTATTCATATTGTTTCTCTTAACACAAATGGGCCAACACATACTGTATACCAAACTATGGTTGATGTTCAGAGATTGATTTATTATTTATTCATACTATTATTCTTTTGCACAGTTTTGTACTATATACAATAAAGCATTCTTCATTAAAGGTTTTAACTAATTAAATCCCAATCATGTTTTTGGTGATTTTTAAAGTATTTCTTTGACCATGAGAATGCACTTTAAATGTTTCTTAAATTTGCAAAACATCGAATCCTTAATAGACCAATTAACTCTATATATTATATACATATTTTATGCACAAAATGACAGCAATATACTGAATAGCTCAATCTCAGTGCTTCACACATGGACAACTTATCCATCAAAATCTTTCATCTCTCTTCATGCAAATACACTTACACAGATGTGATGCATCTGAAGATCCTGTAGAATAGGCAAATGTTAATCTTAAATCAGCATTTTACTAAGCTGTCTTTACTCTTGTTTTGGAGATTACTGTCTTGTGAAGCTCCAATCATTCGTCCCCTCAGATGTGACAAGCCTGGAGGGTCCAGTTTTGAACCCAAGGTTGTCCAATTCCCATAAGACCTTGGGAGGAGGGCAGATGGCCTGGCTTTAGCATTTTTTTTTCAATGTCATTTCAGTGGAGCAATAGCAAAATATTTATTTATCACAACAAAATATGGCAGCTGCCTTACTCATAGGGCCTCTGGTACACAATGTGTTTCTTTTTTTTTTTCACTACACTTTTGTAACAGAGGGGAAGGCTCTGGAGAGCATGCCAGTCACGTGTGTGTGCAGAAAACCGGTACATGTGTGTGTGTGTATGTTCACCTCACTTTGAGGTCATAATATAAAACACACTCATGCCATACTCTTCATGCAATAGGTTCAATGGAGATCTATACCAGGGTTCTTGACTCAATGCCAAAACGGTTCAATAGAGAGAAATTACTAAACCGATTGCATAATGTTTTCATGTTTAATGGATTATTTCAATTTATTTTTAGTGATAAAGTATGTTTATGAGCTGTTTAATTGATAAAATGTAACTAATTAAAACAAAAATGAATTAATTATAACTAAATCGATCTGTAAAATGATCATGGGAACACCTATGAAGCAGCTGACAGAAACCTTTAAGATTTTAAATAGAATGTTTTATTCTAAGAGTGTATGCTAAATGTAATTGAATTTATGGCTGGTATTGTAGTATATAGTTCATCTCATTTATCACTTAATTTATTCTAACAGAGTTGGTGCAACGTTACATTTTAAGAAGTGTTTGCAAAGTGGTTTTCATTAATCCCGAGTTCCTGTTTGTCCATTTATACCCTGAAAAACAAGTCTGTTTATGAGGTCATAATGAAGGATGTGTGTCTGGCATCTATAAAAAATATGACCCGGAATTGCTTCTGTAAAACTAGCACATCAGGAGGAAGGTCGCATTACTCTAATTTGCCTTTGCCGGTGGCTGTTTGCTGCCATGGAACATGTGAAAGTCAAATTTTAATTTGTGACACAGTTACATACATTCAAATATAAAACCTCAGAAAACTCTTTGGGAGAGTCATGCATATTTCCGTTCTTTAAAATCCGGCAGCATTTTAGCGGCTCTTCCCCCCCCCCCCCCCCCCCCTCCCCTCCCCTCAGATTTCATAACTGCTCTATTTGGACAATCAGAATGCAGTTTTTACAGATCTATCCCTGCTTGAAGAAAATTACCCTAAATACACCACTTCAGTGGAATCCATGCGAAAGTGAGAAATGACAGCCAAATGTCAGAACAGTTGAACAGAGACACAATACCCCTCATTACACATGGATGCAAGGGATGCAATGCATTCGATGACTTCATATGCCAGTGATCCAACAGGATAATAATGGCTGAAAGTTAAAAGACCTAGATGATATTCAACACTGATTCATGCTGGTAATAATTGGCTCAGAGAGTTAATAATCTACTTTCACGAGTGAATTCATAAGAAACTTTGGGCTTTTGTGTGCTGCATAATTACTCAACTAAAACATTTATAAAATAATGAAGAATTTGACGTAAGAAGGGATTCTTTTTAGAAAGCTTCCTACACACGTTAAAAGAATAATAATAATACATTTTATTTGTAACGCACTTTATATTTAAGCAAAATCCCAAAGTGCTACAATTTTGAAACAACCAAAATAAAAATGCATTTAAAAGCATTCACAGTCTGGGAGCGGCTGCACAGAATAATAATAAAGTTCACCCAAAATGGAATATTCTGTCATTATTTACATTTTCCTCACATACAGCTATCATATGATTTCAGAAGACTTATAATCCTTATACTTATAATTTATATACACTAATTTATATATATATATATATGTTCAAAAGTCATTTGAACAATTAAACTTTTATGGTGCCTTTTTTTGTCATTTTGTAATTTCCCATTCACTTTCATTATGTGGAAAAGAGTGTCCAGAATATTAGAACATTCTCCTTTTGTGTTGAAGAAAGATGATGAAAGAATGTCAACTTCTTTCATTTATTTGCACTATTCTTTTAAAAGCTTTTAGCCCAAAGTGAATATTCTGTTATTGTTTACTCACCATCAAGTCAATCCAATTCTGTATGACTTTTATTCTTCTGTTGAACACAAAATAAGATATTTTTAAGAATTTATCAACTGTTTTGGTTTATTTAATGATGAAAGATGAAAATCAAGACTGCAAAAATATGTGGGAAAATACCATAGGTTTTTTCACTGCTCTAAGATGATAAAGTTCTCATATGCGTCATATTCTTTGTAGAAAGATACAAGTATTGCTAAGATGCTTTATAATACTACACAAATCCTTTGTCTACTGTGCTATGATTCTATAGATTGCCAATAAGAACTTAGATGCTAATTATAATTTGTTCTTTTCATGCTCGTGCAGTTTTTCAGCACATAGAGACATAAATGTTCACACAATCAAAATTGCTTCTCACTCTGCTGAAGCTCAATAATAAAGTAAATCAGAGGACAAGGAAATGGGTTTCTGCTCATCCAAAGATTCTGGCATTTACTCTTGAGCAATATTTAGGGGTATAGGGATAAATGGAATTTTGGTGTCAATGATCACTTAATTTGAACAGAGATCATACTGGCATTCAGCAGCAAACCAGCTATGGATGGGTATTTAATGATTTTGACATGCTTTGTAATGACAGGTGTTTCATTTGTAGTCAATTATCTCCTAAGTTGATGAATAGTTGTTGTCACTTTATAAATAATAGGCATACCATTTACCATGGGTCATAAAATGAACAGCAATTCACCTCAATCACCTCAATCTCAAGATCTAAATGCGAATAAGAGGACCGTGATGGGCTAGCAGAAGCTGTCACTTCCATTTTAGAGGTGCAGTGCAGCAATTAGAAACTGTTTTCAAAATGCATCAGCATCTCCACTGGCCAGAAACAAAAATGTTATCTACATCATCTAACTTTCTTAAAAGAGCCTCTCCACATTCTTCCTGATAGAGAATTAGATGGAAGAGAATGTCATGGACATTAGACTAATAAGGCACACGAAATCAAGAAAATGTCAAACTCATGTTGCGCGAAAGAGGGAAATGTGATGGTAGCCTAAACGTTGAAGACGGTGAAATATGCTATGGATGAGGTTTCTAAATTGGCAGGAAAAACAGAACTCCAGTCTTAAAAGAACATGTCAGGAATCAGGATCAGAACGTCTCGACTCAATTTATTAATACGAATATTCAGCCTGACGACTATCTCAGTGAAGGAGGAAATTATTTGCAAGTTTTGTAATGCGTCTCCTTTCATTTCTGCACCTCTATTCAAAGAGGCAGAACTTAATCACTGACCCCCAGCTGACTACAGGGTTCGCACAGATACTGTCAAATTACATTCCAGGACTTTTTAAGCACTACTTTTTTGGTTTTCAAGGACTGAGATCTCAATTATCAAACAATATCTTTATTATCTTTTAAATAAAAAAATAGATACAAAATAAACTAATAAAACAAAATGGTACAAATAATAAAGTGCAGCACATGTGGGACTGTGGAAACTTTAACCATTGAAAGGATACTATGACAAAGATATCGCTTTCCTTATTCAAACTGATTTATTTTCCATGAATATATGATTGGCCTGAAGAATGAAAGCGGTATCATATACTTGGCTATTTATATGAGCAATATCACACTCATAGCCATGTGAAATGGCTCTGTATTAAATGGGCAGCAGAATTAATTTTG